GAGAGAGAGAGAGAGAGAGAGAGAGAGAGAGAGAGAGAGGGAAGGAGGGTGGGAGGGAGGAAGGGAGGGAGAGGGAGAGACCCACTCTGTTTAATTGGGGCTGCTTGAATGAACATGGGTGAGGCTTATTTACTTAATCGAGGAAAGCTTACACCACTGGGCTACACCACTGGGGACTATAACCCATTCCCCCTTCCTTACTGGGATTTCTTGTTGTTAGTTTTTTGTTTTTATTTTTGCTTTTGGAGACAGCTCTGACTGTACTGGAACTCGCTCTGTAGACCAGGCTGGCCTCAAACTGACAAAGATCCTCCTGCCTCTGCCTCCCAAGTGCTGGGATTAAAGACACACTTATTGCCTCATCTATCCCAGATTTGGGGATGAAGAAGCCATAACCATAGCAATACTAGTTGGGACAGATATAAATTTATCCCCAACTCAGTTCTTTCTAGCCAAAGGACCAGAAAAGGAGCAGCATACTAACTGAAAAACCTTTAGATGGTTGGTTATCTGTATAGTAATCGTAAATACCATAGAAAGGAACTCCAGTTCTGCCTTCATGTACACAGCAAGGCTAAGTTTGTTGCTTTGACTCTAATTCTTCTGAAGTTGCAAATAGTGGGAAAAGAAAGCCAAACAATCAGGACTTCTCATTTTCACTCATCAACTGAAAGGCACTTCTATCTACAGGATTAGTGCAAATGACATAAGAAGCCCAGTTTCTCACCTCATGCAGCAGTAACAAGTACCCCTATTTGAGTGTCAATCAAGTCAATGGGGAAAGTGGACTTTCATCTCCAACAGGGAGTCACATAATGTACCAGCAACTCAGCTTTCCTTAAGGGAGCAGAGCCAGCAGACATGAGTCAAAAGAGAAAGCTGAAAGACTATCCAGGCTCTCATGAGCTAATATGAGGATATTCACATTTTACTTGAAAGCAACTCATTAAACTGGGTATGATACTACACGACTTGAATCCTAACATCCAGGAGGCAGAGGCAGGGGGATCTCTCTCTGTGAGTCTCAGGCCAGCCTGGTCTACATAGCAAGTTCTAAGCCAGCCAAGACTACATAATGAGACCTCGTCTCAAAACAAGAAGAGGAAGAGAAGCAAAATGAGGAGGAGGAGGAGGAAAGGGGAGGGGAGGAGGCTCAAAATAGAAGAACAAATAAATCCATACCAAACTACAGAATAATTAAATTTTCAAATATTAACAACAAAGAAATATATTGAAAGCATCCAGCAAACAACCAAAATATCATTGATATCTCAAAACCAAGAGATTGTTCTTTCTCTAAAAGACATGGACACATGAAACAAGTGGCATAACCTTTTTCAAATGCTGAAGCCGTCATGTCAGTTCAAATTTATACACCCAATAAAAAGACACAGGTGCAGAAAAGTAAGATAAGTCACTGCCAACGGCCATGAAGAATAAGTCCAGGGGCGGGGGAAGGAGTAGTGCAGTGTTGGAGCACTTCTCCCAGTGTGTGTGAGGTCCTGGGATCCACCCCCAGCATGGTTTAAAAAAACAGAAAAGACAATAAAGACTAAATAGGAAAGACAACAAAAATGTAAAATATTTTGGAATATCACTAACAAAGAAGGAACAGTAAGCAAAAACATGAATAAATATCTCTTTCATATTTATAAATGGTGGTGGCAGTTGAGATGTTATAAAAGAATCATTTAAAAGACAGAGAAGTTATGATTTAAAAAAAAAGACAGATAACTCATGAGAATGTCAACTGATAGAGCCACTCTGAAAAAATACTTCAACGGTTGTATTAAGTTCAACATAATCTTTGTTTAAAAAAATATTTTATTGTAAAGCAAAGGACAACTACACTACAATCCACAGCCCCAGAAAAGTTAGATAATGAGTAGGGCCCTAAGAGGGACATGCTTGCATCGCCCTAGGAAGGAGAAATAGATAAGATCTCCTGGGTAAACTGCAGAGGGGTGGGGGATAAGAACATGAGGGAATGGAAAAGCCTAGTTGAACGAGGGACAGAGAGGGAGAGAAATGAAAAAGACATCTTGATAGAGGGAACCATTATGGAGTTAGGAAGAAAACTGGTACCAGGGAAATGCCTAGGAACCCACAAGGATAACCCCAGCTAAGACTCCAAGCAGTAGTGGAGAGGGTACCTGAACTGGCCTTCTCCTGTAATCAGATTGGTGACTACCCCTACTGTTATCATAGAATGTACATCCAGTAATTTATGAAACCAGATGCAGAGATCCACAACCAAGCACCAGGCGGAGCCCCTGGAGTCCAGTCAAAGTGAGGGAGGATGGATTATAAGATCAGGGAGGAGGGGGTCAAGATCATGATGTAGGAAACCCACAGAGACAGCTGACTTAAGCTAGTAGGAGCTCATTGACTTTGGACTGACAGCTGGGGATCCTGCATGGAACTGAAGTAGGCTCTCTGCATGTGGGCAACAGTTGTGTAGTTTGGTCGGTTTGTGGGGACCTTGGAAATAGTACCAGGACCTGTCCCTGGTGCATGAGCTGGCATTTTGGAACCCATTCCCTATGGTAGATGTTAGCTCCCTCAATTCCTGATCACAAACCACTCCCCAGGTCAAGTGTCTCCTTTCTCAGGTTTATTCTATTATTCTAGCCAGGTGTTGGTGGTACACGCCTTTAATCCCAGCACTCAGGAGGCAGAGGCAGGCGGATCTCCGTGAGTTTGAGACCAGCCTGGTCT